AACACAGTGACCCACAGTATTTTTCCTGATTTTAGAAATGATATCATCTTTAGAGTTCCTATTTTGCCTTAGATTTCCAATCCAATCTTTTGGCAAGGATTTTCGAGACTCTTCTAAGCTTACCAATGATAGGCACCGTTTATTTCGGGAGATAAAGATAGAATTCTGTTTCGTCAAAATTCAGTCCTTTGGTGGTGAAACAGGAATGACCCCTCCAGGACGCAGGCCTGGGCGATGGAGGCCGTGCGCTGCTCAGGCTACATGCACCCCAACTTCTCGGCCGTACCGACAAGAACCAATGGAAGACAGTGAATTACATTTGTGGAAGGGGTTGCCAAAATGTTGTCAGTGTTGACAGCCAACCATCTTCGGGACTCCACTCTGTCTGGATTTACTTCCATAGCTTTTTCCATGTTTGGATGTGACTATAAGGCAGTCGAGGTTTAAAATCGGGATTTTCTTTCCCCTAGATGGACTACCTTCCTGGATTGTCGTGCTCCATTGACTCGAAGAGGCTGGTTGGTTTTCCGCCTTCGCCCATTCTCTGATTGATTAGCGTTCTGAACTCAAGAAACGATGAGGCGTTTTGTCGAATCTCCATATAAATTAACAAATTTTAACTGAAAAATGTAAATATTACCAAATATAATAATTTAATATAATAGTCCGCAATTATTATTTCTTTTTATTTCATTTATCATAATATACATAAATGATTTATGTATATTATGATCATTATATTTATTTTTAGTTATATAAGTATTTTTTATTATTTCACACAACCTATTCTACAGTTACCGGGTGTTTCTTTATTAGTATTTATTTTGTATTTTTACAACGTTTGTTTTTTTTTCTTTTTGCTTACCTAATGTTATATTTATCAACATTGCATTTTCTACTCTCGTTCATTTTTATCAATTGATAATTTGGGTGTTGGTCCTGTCAAAAAGGCAGTATAAATGATTTTATTGTATGTTAAATAATGTCTTCATAATCTTCGAGTATTTTAGGCTGAGATCCCGATTTATATTTTCATTTTTTGTTTCTGCTTTTTCTAAAATTAACAAAACTTTTCAATATTTGTTCATGTACTATTTCACAATTTGTCTTACTTTCTAGTGTTTTTTTTTTATCTAATGTTTTCTATATTTAAAAAATCGTTAATTTCTTTTCAAAACTTCTAAAACAATAAATGTATATAATGTTTATATACATACTCAACTTTCCAAGTTTTTGTTCACCTCTGCTGTGGTCAGCAGAGATGAACATCAATTTGAGTCTCTCACAACTCAAGTCACAATGTTCCAAATGTTTTCATAGCCGGGGTTGATAGCGGTGACAATTCACACTGTCTATAAAATGCTTCCGTGGTATCCGTCTCAAATAGCCGTCGGTCCGTGGTCAACTCCCAGTCGCGGCGAAAAGCTGTAAGCTTTCTTCTACCGGCGTTTTGGGGTTGGCTCTTTGTCGCTGCCACCAGCCTGTGTCCCGGTCGTTCGGTGGTCATCGCTACTCGGCGAAATCCCCTGGTCAGGATACCAATATGTGACACTCAGCCGTCCAGGGTCAAATCCAGTGGTCAAGTCGCCAATATGTGGCACCAGGGTCGAATTCTGGTCGTCGATGTTAACGGCTTCACCAGCTGTACCGGTTCAATGCCAGTTCTATCGTTCCTAGCTCACTTGCATCATCTGGTTACTGGAGTAACTGCTTCGATCTCAAGTCTAACCTACCCACGTTGTGACTTTGATTTCAGGTAAACGAGATCAATCAGGCGTCGGGCCGTAGAGCAAGATGAGTCCAGATTGAAGGTGGCACCGCACAAGCGCAAAGAAAAAAATTAATAAAAGAAAAACCCAAGAGGTCCAAGGATGTTAGAAATAACAATTTAACTTTATCCTTCTGTTATATACAGGAGCGTGTTTTTCTCCCAGCCCGTTTCCTACGAAATGTGACACGTCTATGTTTCAAGCAAGTTGATATCGTAAGTCAACTAATTTAGCTTTTAAGTGCTGGCTTAACTTCGTTCGTCAGTATAACTTGTTATTGGTAGTATAGGCGAAGTCGGAGGTCGTGGAATCTCTCGGTCAGCTTCTGCGCGGCAACACTGATTCCCACTACTCTCTGACTCTGTCCGGAGCTGAACAGCGACTTTACTCAACTGCTGAACGACCCATTGACGTTCGTTTATATGGGTACCGACCAAAACCCGGTGTGTGGGCCCGACGTGGCCTGGGGTTCTCGGTAATCTCTATTTTTAACAAGAAATCTCTTTGTTGTCAGGACAGGAAAATTGATTATTTTCCATTTTCGGAAAATTAACCACTTCCCATTTCGGGGGCGGGGTCTCCGTCGTTCGTGAGGGAAGGTCCACTGAGAGCTATCCTCCTAGACTCTTTCATCTCATATACCAATCGCTTCAGTCGGCGTTAACATCTCCGCCTTTCTCATCCATTCACCTCCACCTATCACCATGCTACCATACCTCTCGGCAGTGTGGGTGTGGCTAAGCTGGCCTCCTTAAAATTATAATCTAGAATTTTTGTTTACACAATTCTCCTTTCCCATCGGTCAAAATTTTTTACAATTTCCACATTGCCAATTAAATTTTTATCACATCTGTTTTTCCTGGGCAACCCAAAAGTCACTTAGCCAGCACTCTTACCGTCTCATTAATCACTGTCAAAGTTTGCCATCTGGTTCTTTACGTTAAGTTAGCTTTATAATGGAATCCTTGACTTGTTAAGAAATTAAATTCTTTTATCTCGCCAAATCTCAATTCTCCACTATTTTCTGGTGATTGCCAAAAGTTTACAATTGCCACGTTGCTATTCGACGTCTTAGTGTCTGTTGGCTAAGTAAATGATAACTATCCTCTCACCTATATAGAGACAATGCCAAAATTTTATAATTGCCACATTGCTTCTCTTCGCCTGTATCCAAGAAAAAACATACATGATATCTTGGAAAGATAATTAACATTGATTCTTTCTGCCTGTATCGGCATTCGTCTCCAGCAGAAATTTTTATGACCGCCACGTGTTTTGGCTGATAATTCCATACTTGCCTTTCTTTCTATCCCCCTCGGCGAGACATAAATTAAATCGACAGGACCTCACACGTGGCTTCTTCCTGGGTTCACAGTCTTTTGTGAAAAGCATCTTTTTTTTTTTTTGTAAATAGAATTAAAATCATTTTTTTTTTCATCAATTATTCTGTCTTTCAAGATTGTCTATTTTCTGTTTTAATTTCTATGGTTAATTAGTTAGCCAATTACCATAGCTAAATAGTGTCACACATCTGACAACGAAGTCCAGCTCTAAACCAATGTGTACAAATGTCACGTTAATATTCTACAATTCAGTTTCTCTAACAAATTCCAAACGACCAATTAAGTAACCAATTAAATATTCAATTAAATTTCACGAGCCTGTTTGTAGTTTATTCATGCCATTATTAGATTATATTTTTTTACACTATTTACATTATTCGGACTTTATAGTCATATTCATGATGTCTGACCACAGCAGAGGTGAACAAAAACTTGGAAAGTTGAGTTACTATAGGGAAATAACTGAAACTGAGATATCCAGAAAAAGCACAGCATGTGGAACTAGAAAAATCTACCCCTGTGGACTAAATAAAGTGTTCGGTTTGAAATTCCAATGTATATCACCTGAAGATGGACAGAACATAGAACAATGGCCGAAACGTTGTGAATATGACAATAAAGATGAGGACAACAGTCCGAATAGTGTAAATACTTAACATACCTCATTTCAGAAATATAGACGGACATTTATATTTTGTTGGATTTTTGGCAATAAATCCTGTTTCTCAACTTCCTTTTCTGTATTTCAGCTCTCCAATGAATAATAAAATTCCTTTCTCAAGTTCTATCAGAATTTTTGCTATAACTTGCAATTGTTCTTTTTTTCCCCCCGTCTTGTTTCAACAAGTTTTTCTTACCTTTTTTTGTCATTCACTCAGAGATCCTTACGTCAGATATTAATACAACTGATCGACTGGCTTTTCACATTTAGTTATGTTTACCTTCGAATCCGTGTAACTCACTTTTTAAATACAATCTATTAAATACAATATTTAATTTAAGCTATTTAATTTTATTTTATTTCTTTATATTTAAACACAATCTACAATCTCAATTTTTAAATATGCTTTCTACAAGTGGTGCTGAAAAGTTCTCGGCCTGGCATACTTCTCAAAGTTTGACACAATAACCAAACATCAGAATTTATTTAAGAATCTTTTCTTGATTGGGCTGCAAATTTTTCCGCTCCTACTCATATCATCATCTTTACTGCACTCCTAGATTTTGCATCTGTCATGGTTGCATTTTGTTTTCTAGTTAGTTTTGTTATTTCTCTATTTGCTTGTAAAATCTTTTATTATTCTGTAAAATTCTGTGTTAATTATGCCAGTACCATCACAGCCTTCTTCCCTTGACGAAAATCTTTGCTTCAAGTCTTTTTTGTTGTTTTTGTTTTATATTTTTCAATCAATTATGCTACTGGTTTTTCTCATTTTTGTGTTTTCATGTAAGGTTCATTGCTCTGGCCATCCTTTCCTCCCATCTTTGCTACTTTTGCATTTCTTTTTCAGTACCTAACTTTGTTGGTTCTAACTATGGGTTACTTAGCAAGGTAGACCAGGAAGAAGTGTGGGGTGGGGGTCTCGGTAAACTTGGATGGCAGCCAGTCTAAGAGAAGGAATATGCTAATTTTAGTTTTTTCAAAGAAATCATGGCAATTTTACAGATTATAATAAAAAATGTAATATTTTTGGAAAGCAATGATAATCTCTGTTCTGAAGAAATGGCATAAAAATCTTTTTCTTTTAAATGGCTTAATTGTTCATTTCTATATATTAATAATCTATTCTCTGTTTCAAAAGACACTTCTATTTTATAGTCATCAGGAATTAAAAGTGAATGTTTATTTTCCAACTTAATTTACTGTAGTGTTTGTTTATGATTTCAGAAACCATATTTAGAGATTCTCATGGTAGCCAATCGACGTAAACGAAGCAAGAGAGGTCTTGGTTTGCAGTGTGATGCCACCAAAGTAGAGAATAGATGCTGCCTATATCCAATGGAAGTGACATTCGCTGACTTTGGGTGGAGATGGATCATCGTGCCACAAAGATACAAGGCCAATTACTGCTCCGGCGAATGTGAAATGAAGCTACTTCAGGATTATGCTCACACATCAATGGTGTCCAATCTGAAAAAGAACAGCTCACAGATTATCTGTTGCACTCCAACAGCACTCAGTTCACTCTCAATGCTTTATTTCAGTGATATGGCTGTTATCGAACAAAAGGACTTACCCAATATGGTTGTTGAAAGTTGTGGATGCCGATAAATAACACCACCACAACAATAATAATAATAATATAAGGTGTATCTACCATGTTGGTATGCATAAAAAGGACTTAAATAGACATTTGTGCCTGTGGGAGTAGGAAGTGAAGTTTTGAGGACTGCAAGAAAAGTGACACAATGTTGGTCTACCAACTGAAAGTAGGCACACACTGTAGCTTTAAAAAAAAAATACAGGAAAAGAAATATAAAAAAATAACTTGGCTTAGAAGTAAGCAGCACTAAAGTTCATATTGCTCAATAGACAATAACTGGTGATGAATATAGTTCGTAAAATAAAAATACACTTTTAAGGAAGCTTTAAAATATATTAAGAGGAAGTAAAAATATCCAAACTTAATTTTAAAACCATACCTACATTAAAAAAGAAAGAAAGAAAAGTTATTTGGTTTCTTTAAAAAATTCAAGAACTACATGAAAGTTTAGGTTGCATCAAAAAGTAACACTCTTTGTTTATCTAAAAATGTCACCTGTTAATTAAGCTTAATTTAGTCTGGCACAAAAGTCATAAGTGTTGGGCACACAGTGAGGATTGAACTCACTTTACTATAAAGCCTAGACAGTCCTTAATGGGTTACACATGAATTGGATCCTTAAATGAAATTAAATCAAAGAAAAAAATTAAATAGAAAATTGGTTAATGATAAATTCATTTTAATTATTTACAATTCATGAAACATGGTACAAAGCCACTGTGCTTCAGAGTTGTTTTTTTAAGAAAAGAAAAAAATAAGAAAAATATGAATAACGTGATGAAGGTAAATTAATTCTTAACTTCTTAATGTATTTCACATTTATCATTTTTTTAAAACACTTTTTGCATTAGTTTATCTATTTGCAAATCCAGGCAAGTTTATCATTTGCATTTTATAAAACCTTGGACTTAACACACATACAAATAATCAATAATGAGAAGCTGTAAAAGCATATCAAGGGTAAATCTTATAAGGGAATAACTGAAGAAGTTTTCAATATAAATGGAAGGAGGAGAAAGATACTTGATAATTGTTTGCAGAGACCAGATCTTCAGTTATGATTAGTGTGAGTTTGTCTATATTTCTGAGATGAGGTATTATGTACACTATTTACATTATTCGGACTATTGTCCTCATCTTTGTCCCCATATTTATTACAACATTTCGGCCATTGTACACTCCAGCCTTCTTCAGGTGGGTGGAGTGTTGAACTGAACCCCTTATTTCGCTCACTGGGGTAGATTCTTCTAGTTCCACGTGCCATGTTTTTAATGGATGTCAGTTATCAGTTATCCCCTTTCCAAGTTCTCCACTGCCTTAACCTCAAGGACACATGACACAGTGGATAAAGGCATTGGTTAGATCCAGTGACAGGACCTAAAGAGTGTGAGTTTAATACCTGGTTAAGGCAGTGGAGAACTTGGAGAGAGGAATTAACAGTCTACCCCAGTGAGCGAAATAAAGGGTTCAGTTTGACATTGCAACCACCTGAAGTAGGCCTGAGTGCACAAAGGCCAAAATGTTGTGATAAATATGGCAACAAAGATGAGGACAATAGTCCGAAAAATGTAAAGTGTCTTAATGTACATTAATGTATATATATGAGTTTGTGTGATCTTATATATATACAGTAGCGTCCAAAACTAAGGGACAAAATTTTAAAACCTAATATTTGTTAGAAATAACAATGTGAAAAGCTGAAATTTTGACAACTGGTAGTCGTTATCATCCATAATAACATACTAAAATTTGAATCATTTGCAAAGGATAGAAAAAGAATTATAACAATTATTTATTTATTTTCAAATTTGGAACGTCCAAAAGTAAGGGACAAAATTGAGAAAAACAATGTAAACGGCAAAAAAACAATAAAAATACATGTACAATCAATGTAAACGAGCCCTTGCTCTCAATGACAGCTGCACATCTTCGACTACAAGAACGAATCACTTCTTGACAATCCTTGATACTAATTTTAGACCATTCTTTTTGAAGCTTCACCCACAAATCCTCCGTGTTAGTGGGATTTCTTTCCATAACTTTCACTCCTAAGGTCTTCCAAAGATTTTCTATTGCATTTAAGTCAGGACTTTGCGGTGGCCAATCCATAATTTCCAAATCTTGCTCGCTAAGGTAACTCATTATCACCTTTGCCTTGTTACATGGGGCATTATCTTGCATAAAGGTAGCCCTATCAAAACCTGAATTCTGTATGATTGGCACAACATGATCTTGAACAATGTTTTTATAGATCTGCGCATTTACACGAGTTTGTAACCAGACAAGAGGCGTTGTACCTTGGCTAGAAAACATTCCAAATACCATGACGCTTCCGCCCCCAAACTTGACAGTTTTCTTAGTACACTTTGCACTTAATCTTTCACCAATACGTCTCTTTACATTGTTTTTTCCATCATTTCCAAATAAATTAAACTTGCTTTCATCACTGAAAATACTTTTGCCCAATTTTCATATGTCCAAATTACATACCTGTTTGCAAACTCTAATCTCTTCTTCTTATTCTTCGAACTAAGAAGTGGTTTCTTCCCTGGGGTTCGATTAAACAGCCCTATTTCTTGCAGTCGTCTACAGTCTGTCTTGACACATTAACATGAGGTACTGTTCATAACCCTTTTAATTTCTGTGCAAGACTTAAAATGGTCCTTTAATGACATACACTGCATTATTCGATCTTCTCTTGCCGAAGTTTTGCGGGGTCTGCCGGTTTTAAAAGCACTATTTTGCCAGTATCATTGTAGGATTTAACAACCCTGCCTACAACACTCTTGGAACGTTTCACTTTCTCTGAAATCTCTCTAATGGTGTGCTTTTCCTTGTGTAGCTTCACAATAGCTTGTCTCACAGAGTAATCAAGTTTTTGGCATTTCGCCATGGTGCCGGCTGATGCAACGTTTACAAATGACTAAGTAAGACTTATTCTTTAGAGGAAATCAAAAAATTTGAATATAGCATACTGTTTACATTGTTTTTCTCAATTTTGTCCCTTACTTTTGGACGATCCTATTTTGAGAATAAATAAATAATTGTTATAATTCTTTTTCTATCCTTTGCAAATGATTCAAATTTTAGTATGTTATTATGGATGATAACGACTACCAGTTGTCAAAATTTCAGCTTTTCACAGTTGTTATTTCTAACAAATATTAGGTTTTAAAATTTTGTCCCTTAGTTTTGGACGCTACTGTGTGTGTGTATATATATATATATATATATATATATATATATATATATGAGACACATAATTATTTTCATATCCATGTTGATGGACAATCACCGGTCATTAAGTGTAGAACCAAGATAGGAGGGGTAACTGAAAAACTCTTGGTCTAACCTACTTCCAGAAATCTTTATTCTAATGTTTGGGCACAGAAATTTTTGGATGTAGGTTGTGCTGATCACTTTTTAGTCCCCACTCACATTAAAAGTTACTGAAATAGACACATAAAACATTAGAACAAAGAAAAGAACAGAAAAAGAAAATGGAACCAGAATTACACAATAAATAAATTAAAACTATGCATCAAAAAGATTAAGATAAAACAAAAAAAAATGAAGCCTCAGAAAGAAAAAAAAAATGAGACAATATGCAAGCATACACACAAGACAGAAATTATTTTCATCAGTGAATGAAAATAAGATATTTTAAAGTGAGCATAAAGCATTATGAAATGAAAGCAAAGATTAAAAGAGAAGATATTGCAATTTTCAACACAAACTGTTGTAATTATTCCCTGAATGAAAGAACACTTTAATATGTAGCAGAGAGTCACTGTAGACAGTGTTGTATTATGTAAATCACTACAGAATTGGATCGTTATCAAGCCTTGCACAAGAGGAGGAGCCCAAAAAATTGACAATTGTGTGGTTTCCAAGTAACTAACTAGTATATATCATGATTAATATTTGCATGGCATTTGTATCATCTGACACAAGAGCCTATTAAAGAATGATTTTTGTTTTAATAAAATTACATACAAATGAACTGTGGAATAAATCAATAGAAAAAACAGTTTCTGCCAAGAGTAAAAGCAGAACATTTAGTAAAATCTCTCTTTCTGTCAATTTCATTGGTGATTTGTTATTGTTGGATATATACATATATATGTTCATTAGAAAAATACAGAGACGTTTTGTTTTCATCAATCTGTCCTGCTTTCCTTTCATGGCAAATAGAATTTATTAAGAAACTGTTACTTTAGATAGAAGACAAAAAAAAAGCAAACAAAATCCAGATAAAAGTCTGAAGTGATAAAACTGTTTCTGAGGATGATGCAAACCCTATTTAGGGATTTTCTACACATGTGTATCTGATTATAATTAGACAAGCCCAATTTTTTTGTCCCTCACTTCTTCCATCTCCCATTTGCCAAATGTGCCAGCAATCATAAAAAATCATTAGTAAGCAATCAAAAGAGCTTCAAGTAAAATACTGACTCAGTTTTGTTGATTCAACCAACAAATCAAACAAAATTTGCATTTCTGCCACAGAATTTTGATTACTAATCAACTGTTCAGGTTTGTATAGAATGTGAAACTTAGTTACCATACAGGTAAATTGAAATAATGTCTTCAAACTGATCAAAACCTTGTGAAAGAAAAAAAAAATCTCATTCACTTGATTTAAAATTTTAATTTAGGTTTTAATAATTAACATATTTAGCTTTGCTGTTTTTGCTATTTTTAATGACAAAATAATAATGGTTCCTTGGTGGCTGTCTTTTATATTTCTTCATTGGATGCCTAAATTTAGAGATCTCTACTATGCAAAATGTTGAGATACAAGGTCCCACTTAAAGTCATTTACTCAGTTAAAAAAAAAAAAAACAACAAAAAAACGAAACAAAAAAAACAAAACAGAAATTTCAGTAAAACAAAAAGCTCATTTTTGTCATATTAAATTTGTAAACTTAAACTGTAAACGCTACATCTTTTCTGGTGCAGAATATAAAGGAAAGCAACATCAATACACATTAACAAGATATAGAAAATATAGATTGAATCCTTACATTTTGTCAGTGTAGTAATAGTAGTATTGTTTGTTTATTCTTATTTTATTGGTGTTTGTTTGTCACAGTAAACAACTGGCAAAATGCTGACCCTATAAAGAACTATGTTAAAATATCAGTATATGTTCTTTTTATTTCCAGCCAACCAATTTGTTGGCAATGCATTTTTGAAGTGAAATTTGCTTTTACTTGACAGAAAGTATCAGTAAAATTACTTTCAACTTCACTTGTATTATTATCCAAAAAAAACTTGAATGAGCTTATATGAACTTCAGAAGTATTTAAAAAATATGATATTGAAAATTTATTAGGTTCATAGGTGTTTATAGACTTCAAGCTACAATACCATAATGTATCAAGAAAAAATCATGTCTACTTAAATAGCAACACACAGATATGCAAATGAAGTGAACCAAAGAATATTTATCCAGGCGATAAAAAAACCCAAAAAATCAACAATCTCTTTGTGAATAAAATTTTAAACTGCACAAAAAATTATGAAAACAAATTTATTTACAATCAACAAAATTAAATGTAAACTAATTACAAGAAAATATATGAAATCAGAATTTTTATTTAAAAAAGAAAGAAAAAAGACATCAAATGAGGGAGCTATGAACAACAAAATGATTTTTATAAGATTATAGAAAGTTTGCAGTTCTTCTCACTTCCATTTTTTCTGCCTAATTATTCTTCTTTGATTGACTATTATTATTACATAATAGTATTTATAATATTATGCAATATTAATATTACATAATATCTAAATACTAGTTGTAGCAAGTAAAACTTTTAATGCTTGGCTTTATCTAGTGTCAGTAACTAGCAATCAACGTCTGCCAATCAATTAATTAAGGTAACTTCCAATATTAGAAGCAATGTGTTTTTGAGAGATTGTTAAACAGACATGTTTAAATACACCCAAAATTAAGGAATTTAAGGAATTTAGTAGTCTCCCTTCTCCTTATTGTGGAAAATCAAAAATATTTCTGGTGCTCAAATAAGGTACAAATAGAGATTGTAACTTAAACATTATATCATATCAGCCTCTGAAGAATAGTTAAAAGAATTAATACATATTTTAAATGAATCAATATATTCAGAAATCCAACATATATATAGTCACACAGACAAAATGATAATTTTAAATCATCCGGGGTGGAAGTGATTGATCAACTTGAGAGCCCTATTCAAAAAAGATGAAGAAACCAATTAAAAAAGATTAAATTCATAGAATAATGAAAATACTCCATTTCAAAATCTTGGCTTAGAATATTCTCTTGGTATCGCAGTAGCACTCCATTGTTAGTCATTCAAAAAAATTGAAGAAACCAATTAAAAAAGATTAAATTCATAGAATAATGAAAATACTCCATTTCAAAATCTTGGCTTAGAATATTCTCTTGGTATCACAGTAGCATTCCATTGTTAGTCATTTGTTATATATTATAGATTATGTAGAGGAGCTTAGTTAACATTGTTGGCATTTTTTTAAATTTAATCTTAATTTCTATAGATATATTTTTGAAAATGACCTCAGTTATCTCTTTTATCCAGAAAAGAATAAATCATAAGAGAATTCATAAAAATATATCTGTCTGAATTTCTGGGATCTCATGCCAGAAATTAACATAATTTACAGTCAGACGAATATCCTCATCATTGTTATTATCATCACAGTGTTTCATTATACCCTCTGGCCATCTTCAGGTATCTGGAAATCCAAGGAAAACCTGAAGATGGCTAGAGGGCACAATGGCAAAACATTGCAATTATAACAACAAAAATAAGGATATTAGTTCAACAGTAAGTGATGCAAATAAAAATATTGTTTTAATACATTCTCACATTAACACAATCTCCATCATCATAAGTAAAAGCAAAATATGCAAATAATCTGAGATTTCCCATAATTTATAAATGAAGGAAGTCAATTTGACTTTTCAGTTATCTTAAAATTTAATTGCCTACTGTCTGTAAGATTTTTCAAATTTGTTTTACTAACCTTCAATATTAAATTTTTTACTGGATAGTTTTAAGAATGATTATTCATAAGCTCATCCAAAAATCAATTTTTAAACAATGGCAGTCATTATTTCATTAATAATAACTTTTGAAGTTTGTGTTCATTATGTGAACACTTACCAAATGTCAAAAAGTTACAAAATTTTGAATTAGTAAGTTACCAAGTGATGGGACAATGAGACTATCAGTGGTTTCAGTAAATTCTTAGACACTTTACTCCTAAATGAGGGTTATTTTTCTTTTAACATACATTTTACTATGAATTTATCCATTATTTAATCCATATTCTTTTCTACATTGTCTTCAATTTCAAGGAAATCATTAATTTTTATGTAGCTTCAGGGTTAACATTTCTTGCTGAAGCCTACAACTGTCATACATTTCTCTTTGAAAGGATCAAAAGAAGCTTATTAGCAGAACAATCAGAAGCCTGCAGTTATCAAAACTATGGCTCTTTTATGAGACATCTAGAATCAGTTGTAACACCAAAAGGAATTTACAAGTGCAAACTAAACAATATACTGGAAATCATATTGCTGAAAAGAAGTTCTCTTAGTAATATCAGTTTTATTCTAAAAATTAGAAGTCATCAGTAGAAAAATAATGAGACACATTATAAAAAGAGAGAGATATTATTTTAGATAATTTTGATATTTGAAAAAAAAGAAAAAGTGGTATCCAACACACTTGAAGGCGAAATTGTGTGAGAAAAATATTTCAGCTGTATGAAAGAAAATGCCTTTTTTCAACTATGAATGTTTTTGATTTAAAAAAGAAACAAAAAATCTTTTTGATCACTAATGCATATTCTATATAAAAAAGTCTTTACAATTTGCTGCATATTGTTCCATGTAAACTTGATTTAATGCATAATGGATATTTTTCCTTGTAAACAAAAATGACAAGAAAATATCCAGGTACCTAATAATCAGTCCCAAGAGAGTCAAGACTAATTTTTATATATAATTATATTGTTTAAAAATTGCTATATTTATGTGGGAAGAGTGTGCCTGTAGATCTTTGCAGATATAAACAGTGTGGACATAGAAACCTTAAGTGATCATCAGTCCATCTGATGAACACTTAAGGTGTGAACTTCCTATCACTATGCAGTGTTGATTTCAATGTCTGCATTATCTATGTACCTTCTTAATATTTAAAATTTTGTGGCAGAAAACAAAACATTAAAACTAGAATCTGATTAAACTTGTTCATTGTTGTGTGTAATGGAAATATTGACAAATGCAAACGAGGAACAGATTTGTGTGCACACAAAAAAAATGATAGATCAGTAAGAACTCCTAATCTTTAGTTGTGAAATCTTTGTTTTTGAAAATCATCTTAAAGAAAACAAAAGCTTTCAAAGCATTTTATATTTTTTGTTGTCACTTGCCATTGACACATGCAAATGGACATCTGAAGTGAAATTGCATGAATCCTGTTCATAAATTATTTACAACTTCAACTCCAGAAAAAATGCCTTTGTATCTTGCAATCAAATAACTTGAGAAGCTGCTTAAGATTTCATACAATTCTTAACAGCTACTTTAACTGAATCTCCACAACTGACAGGTATCACAAGACTTCTTTGATGAGCATCTTGAATTAAAGATTTCCAATCTTCATCTGCATGCTAGAAAAGAGAGAAAGAAAACATCAGCAGTAAAACAAATGAATGAGATTTAAAAAAAATAACAATTTTACAAAAATTATCAAAAGATGTATAGCATAGTGAAAAGGCTTCACAAACAATTGTAATGTATGAACCAAATAATTTCATAAATAAAATCCAAACTATTCAAAGTTTTTTTAAATTGATCTCAAAAACCAAACTTAAATCAATTTCAGTGATATTTGCTGTTAGCATTTATATAATTTTATAGCTAAAAAGAAATTAATCTACAAATTTAAATATTTTCTTCATTCAGAAATTATATTCTTATTTATCAGCCCTCAGTGATGTCAAATAACCTCTAATGTGAAAATCCCAGGGAATTTGTTGCTATTCATTTCTCACAACATCATCAATATACAAGAGATATTAAGAAACAAACTTTGATTTACAAAATGATTGTTAAAGAGTTGAACAAAAATGTTAATAAAGTAGCAGAGAAAAATTACAAACCTTTTTCTCTTATGGCATTTATATTTGAATGCATGCAAGCTAACCATCTAATCTTCAAAAGAAAGTTTGTTTTTTGTAACTTTTTCTTCTAGTTGTCATTTCCATTTGTCATTAAAAGTATATAAAGTATAACAATTTAATTTCCAGAATGGCCCTTTGCTTACCTGGTCACTATTGGCTGCTGTCACCTTTAAAGCACCCCACCCACCTTTGTAAAACCGTGCATTTCATGAGTCAATGGTGTCATTGTTGGAAACTTTTTTGTTTCTGAAATGTTTTTCAATAATGTAGTCAGGCTGTATTTCAGGGGACTCAGCAAATCTTTGCCCATACAGAGTATTTTTCAATTTTTTAAACAGCCAAAACTTGTAGAGAGCTAAAAGTCTGGTGAATAACGGGGATAGCCAACTTTTGTAATGGATTTCTAAGCCAAGACCTTGTGAAATTCTGGTGCAGGAACATTATCATAGTAGAGAATGCACTTGTTAGGCCAGAGTTTGGGGTTTTCCTTTGAACATATTCTTTCATCATTTCTAAATAAACATTGTGTATATCTTCTTGTAATACCTTGAACAACCTGTGCAACTAAAAAAAAAATGATTCCTTTATAGTATGTGCACCAAAAGCCATAAGGTTCCACTAGCAATTTTAACAATCTTCACATAAAAACTTAATGTTAATCTGTCTCTCCAGATTCCTTTCACTCATTTTCCACGAACTATATAACATGAACACATGCTATTTCCTCTACTGTTTGACAATGAATAACTCATCTGGTCTGCATGTCAAGAAAATGAAAGTTGGATCATGTCTGGACATACCTGTGTACAAATTTCCTTATTTCAGCAACACACTGTAGTTATTCTGGAAATTAAATTCTTACACCTCATATATAACATTTTAGTTCATAAACTTCTGTCATAGCATTTCATTATGAATAAAGATATTTTTACAAGACCAATGAATAAAAGATAATTGTGGATTTGTCAAAAGGAGTGCGAACTTGATAAAGTTAGAGAAAGTTAAAACACCTCTGAGCCTTTCAAAACAATTTGTTAGCGCATTTGTATTAAGTAGATGAAATCATTAAATATCAGGAAGATCTTTTGAATATGGAGAAAAGTCCTTCTTTTTTATCCAAAATTAATAGTTTTGAATTTACTGATTTCTTTTTGCAGCTACTCCTCATCTGTTAACTATAATACAGAGATTCTTAAGCCTTCTAAAATCCAACCTTTAAAGGTGGTTCTAGAATGACCTTCACAGTCACAACCAAATATGAATCTGTTAAGTCATCTTTTACTTAGTAATAAGGCAGGAAGTAGGAAAGAGTAAATTAGAAACAGGGAACAAAAACAGGTATAAGTGCGTCCTGAAATAACACCAGTAAACTTGGCATATAAATTAGATTAAAGAACAGAGAGAAAACATTATCATCGTATGACTAAAGGTTCTTTCCAAATGAAATGTTATCAGTAGAAATTACAACAGTATCATATTTCCTAACAGAATAATATCCAATGTTTTTCTAACAAAACTTACCTCTAAAGAATGCAAATGACCAACAACGTATAGGGCAAACTTAGCTCGAGTTAAGGCCACATTTAGTCGTTTTCGATTGGTCAAAAATCTGAGAGAAAAAGCATCAAAAGTACAAAGAAAAAGCATCAAAACTACAAAGAAAAAGCAAGTTGGTTTACAAGGGAAGAATTTAAAATGAGCAAAAATAAAAAAAAAAAGACAACAATTTAAGCATTACAGAACTTTTGGCATCTTTTTGACAAAAATGCAAACAAATGGAGTTCATATTTAATCACTTTGTCTAATTATGTTGCTATAGAAATAATGAATTGCATGTAAAGAAAATTACTATTACATGTACTGGAAGATTATTTTTGAACAAATTTCTTTTCAATAAGCACAGATCTAAAAAATAATTCTGCCTAGTTGTTTCAAAGAGAAAGTATGGAAGAATTTGTGGTAAATTTATAGGAAAGATTACTTGAACCATCATTTTCAAAATGAAAGAGAATGAAAATGTTTAATGTTCCAAGTTCATAGATCAAAAAAGTGTTAAAAGATGACTAGTATTAGGTCTAGTAAAAAGAAGAAAAGAAAATGGTTTTCAACAGTGTACTGAGTCTGAGAAAAATGAAGACATTTGCACACTCCTAATAATTTATTTTCTATAATATATAATAGTGTTAATTGTTAAACTGTTAGCCATACATTGTACCTTCATATTTAACTAGAATGAATCTACACATATAGACCAATATCTATGACACACATTCCTATACATGCATCCATTCATGTCAGTCAGTTAAGCGCCATACATGATACACGTTTGCATGATTGCATCTCTTTCCATTTGTGACTAATCAGATTTCCCCACAGTAGTTTATCATTTCTTTCTGGAGTAGATTGGTTGCCAACCAATGTTGTCCTGTTACTCAACCGATGGCTGTGGGGTAGAGGTGATGGGTGTATTTGCATGTAAGTGAATGTAACAAACTCAACTAGAATTTGAACTCAGTTCTGCGATTTTTCATTCTGACCTCTTATCAGTTACACCATAAATGCATATTACATTATATATTTTAATACATTTTTATAATGTCCTACTTACCCAATCTTTCCACAACTTCCTTGTGCACGAACACAGGACATGATTATAATGTCTTTCTCCCGTCCTTGGAAGCCATCCACTGTTGTAACTTCAATTTTGTAGATTTTTCTATAAAGTCATAAGTTTAATCTATTTGAATCAATTTTGTACAAAAGGTACAAAAAATGTATATGGGTCATGTAGCATAGAAAAAAATGCTGTTTGATAACAGGTTTCAGTTTTATGACTCTGCAGTCAAGAAAAAAAGAATTTATCATTCTCTCTGTTCCAGCTTGTAAAATTAACAATATATTCTGGTCTAATACGAATAAACAAGAAACATGAGCAAATAGACATCTGAAGATAACCAGAGAAGACATGACTGAAACATGGTGTTTATTATGTCTCATATGATTTTCAATATAACAGACAAATGGCATTTTCTTTAACTTTTGAAAGCATGAAACAAAAATTAATATCTGACTGCTCATTTTATAGGGAGCAAAAAAAATAAAATAAAATAAAAAAACAAATGAAAAATCAGTTTCTGAGTAAGAATTTCAAATTCAAAGATTAAATTTTATTTTAAGTTTCTTATCTTGCATATTAAATGAGGGACCAAATGTTGAAATTTTGGGATTGGGAGTTGGGTATCCTCCACACACCCAATACTCCAGAAACATCATTGATGAGGCATCTTGGTGCATTCACACTGGTGTATCTTGCAATTAGCCATACATATTAACATTACAGATCAAATCAAATAAAGTAAATAACTGAAATGATGTTTAAGCATTTCCTATGCCAATCTAAATGGTTTCTGCTTATTGTAGACAAAATCCTATGAAAGCAGTTATATTATTTTACTAATATGTTTCACATTAAATATTGAATATAGTGTATATTTAGATATTTTTCTAAACTGTTAGAATGCTACAAACTATTGTAAAAATAATATTTTTGAAATCTGTCACTTTTTGGAAGTTCAGTAAAATAAATGTCTTACAAGGACTCTAAAGGTGAGGCTCAATAAGTTATTTTCACAGCCCCCATTGTTTGTACAAAATGTTACATTCTCACTGAGTGACCATGTAACTGACTTGTAATTATCTACAAAATGAAAGAAACAACCAACATACCTCTGGGATAACAAATCCTGGAGCAATTTTTTTTGCAGCTTGTAAGGAGCAATAATACCAATTCCCAAAGGAGTATTGGTGATATTCAAACCAACAAGATAGTCACACAAATTAACAGTGAATTCAGCTTCTATTGGATTACTAAGAGAACTGCAAAAAGGAAAAACATGTTTTGTAAAAAAAAAAAAACTTTAAATTACTCTTACAAAATCAATATTCCAGCAATTCAAAAAAAACTTTCTAGTCAGGAAAAAATTACATGGTAGTAATTGAAATCCCCATAACCACACAATTTAAGCAGCAAACATTAATGCTGCTGGAGATCTCTCAATTCTTGCTTATTTTAATTAAATTTAATCCAAGCAATATGTTCTAAAGGAAAAGTTAGCAACCATAGATGTGTTAAACATGAACACTGATTCATACCAATTGAAGAAAAGTTTGAATTACTAAAAGGTTTGGACCATGGTGCGTGTGTTTGCCCAAGTAGCAGGCTACTGATCACTACTGGGGACAATAAAATAAAGAAATTTTAAACAGGTATGTTGAAGAAATAAAAGAAAACTGAAAAAAAACATAAGAGGTGGTAAAAATACTGAGTATAATCAAGTGATCACAGATCAAAGAATTTTTTATAATTAGAATATGGATGTGATGATAAAGATTTGAAAATATGAGGGTCAGGAAAAAAATTGATTACCTACCCAGTATCTGGAGAACGAATTTGCTTTCCATTTTGTATATCAAACAATAAATAAGGAACAATGTTTATAGGAGAACTTCGCAATTCCAGATTCCTACAAAGATTTAAAAAAAAAATTTGAACATAACTTTTGTGTGGTAGCATTTTGCAAATTACTTATGTAAATTGATTTATTCAAAAATAATTATATAAATCTTTCATAAATCTCTGAAAATTTGAATAATTCAACTTTGAAAAAATTCTCATATTTGATAAAGATCATTTTAAATGATTTTTAAAATAATAGACATTTAAGCATTGAGAAAGACATGTTCACACACACAAAGAAAAAATATTTGAATGTATAGTATATATGAATATTTTCCACAAAGAATACAAACAAATATATGTAAAAAAAAAAATTTTTTTAAATTAATTAACTTACATATCACTGAGCAGTTTATTCTCATAGATATAGCGGCTGGAGAACTTGCAGATTTCTGGGTGCATTCGATATTGGCAGTTTAACATGATTATGGGATTTGAAATTGTCCCTTGCAGATCTTTAAAGTGGTTGCAGAGTCGTTCAAACAATGATTGGCCATAATTATATTCTGCTGCTTGCTATAAAAGTGGGTAACCAAAAATCAATTGACAATAAAACAAAAGCCAAAACCAAAAGAGAAAAAAAAAAAAAAAAATTGTGTTGAGTTTATTCATTCTTTCAACACACAGAAACATATATTCATTGTTAATAATTGTCAATGTGCTTGGTCCTACAATGATGGCATGTTCTATGTGTTTGTTTGTTGAAAATTCCACTCTAGTCAGATGAACACTTACAGTTAGATAATGGGGTTGCAGTTATCTATACCTAGTTTCTTTGTTCAGTATTTACATTAGTCGGACTATTGTCCTCATCTTTGTCGCCATATTTGTCACAACGTTTCAGCCGTTGTACGCTCCGGCCTTCTTCAGGTGGTTGGAATTTCGAACTGAACCCTTTATTTCGATCACTGGGGTAGATTGTTCTAGTTCCACGTGCCATGTTTGATGGATGTCAGTTATCAGTTATCTCCTGCTAATTTTCCCTCTGAAAGTTCTCCACTGCCTTAACCAGGTATTGAACTCAACTTCTTTGGGTCTGTTACTGGATCTAACCAACGCCTTTATCCACTGTGCCTTGAGGACATCTGGGTATGAAATTCTGAGTATTATAAAACTAATGTTTTCAGCATCATTTTTTTACCAGTGCTCATATTGCAATTTTGCTGTTATCATTGCATGTCTTTACCAGAGTTCATATTACAACTTTGTTATCATTGCTTTTCTCTGGCACTCCTTATTACTGGTTCTCAGAAAACAGTCTGCCTGCCTTATATGAAGGGGTTATCAGAGAAAATACAAAGGATCTGCGGTCCATATAACATCAGGACAACCTTCAAAAACATGACAACAATTCGCAGATATCTCTCACGAGTGAGACCCTCCACAGAGGGGAACATGACTAAAGACTCTGTGTACGCTATCCCGTGCAGCTGCGGAAAGGAATATAAAGGAGAGACAGGCTGCCCCCTCAAGGTAAGGCTTCAAGAACACCAGAAAGCTGTAACGTGAGGGGAAGTAGAAAAATCAGGCGTGGCTGACCACATATGGAGAGAGAAGGAGATCACCGCCCCTGTGGGATCATGTTGAGATCATAGACAGGGAACACCATTGGAAAAATTCAAAACTTAAGTAATCAGCACATATGCTAGGCCACAAAATCTCCTGAGCCGACCAAGCATAGAAATAAATACAATATGGGAACCAGTAATAAGGAGTGCCAGAGAAAAGCAAGGACACATGGCACAGTGGATAAAGGCGTTGGTTAAATCCAGTGACAGACCCAAAGAAGGTGAGTTCAATACCTGGTTAAGGCAGTGGAGAACTTTCAGAGGGAAAATTAGCAGGAGATAACTGATAACTGACATCCATCAAACATGGCATGTGGAACTAGAACAGTCTACCCCAGTGATCGAAATAAAGGGTTCAGTTCAAAATTCCAACCACCTGAAGAAGCGTACAACGGCCAAAACTTTGTGACAAATATGGCGACAAAGATGAGGACAATAATCCGACTAATGTAAATACTGTACATAATACCAATAGTCCGACTAATGTAAATACTGTACATAATACCTCATCTCAGAAATATAGACAATTTCTTTGTTTTTTATTATTGTTATCAGGGTGCACTGTTGTGGTGTACCTAATAAATAAAATAAGTCACCATGTGTGTTAACACAGTAAAACATGTGTTTCCTTCTTGAGTTTATCCTCCTGTCTCGAATATGAAGTTGAATACCTGCATTCACAAAAAACAAGGTATGTCTATCTAATGATGTGTAAATTTCTAACAGAGGTTATGAGCTCAGAATATGCTAAACTTTAAGGACCTTGTGGGATTATAACGGCCATCTTGAATTTGCTGCATGTGGAAGAGAATTTTATCAAGTTGTAATAAGATTGAATATGGTGATGGAGACAAAGCTTATTAATCTTGTGCCATTGAATAAGGTAAATTACACCATTTGGAAAGTGCAATGCAAAATGATATTGATCAGAGAAGGTTTATGGAATATAGTTAATGAGACAGAGATTGTTGCTGAACCCAAAACAGATGCAAACTTGTAATCAAGATAAGCTGTCATAGAATGATCGTGTCTTGGCAATGATTGTGCTGTAAGTTAAACTGCCACTTCTGTATTTAACTCTGGGGACTCCAATGATCCTGCAATGGAAAAAATTGTCAGACCAATTTCAAAAGAAAACATGGTCAAACAAGTTAGTGTTGTGGAGGAGGTTATATTTGTCATTCATCGGTGATTCCATTGATGGGGAGGATCAAGTTGTACATCTTTTAGCTAGCTTACCAGATTCTTATATGTTGGTGACAGCACTTGAAGCTAGTCAGGATGTGCCTAAGTAGGCATTGGTGACTGAACGATTGTTGTATAAAGAGTCAAAGTTCAAAGAAAAGGAAAGTGGTAGTGCTGAATGTAAAGTTATCTTGTCAAAACATTACAAAAATGGACCAAAGTGTTACCACTTTGGGGAAAAATGGACACATGAAATGTAACTGTCGACTGCTTGGTCAAAATACAAAGGAGACGGTAAGGGAATTTCTCCAAAAGGAAAGCCTATAACACAAAGAAATTGGAAAGAGACTCTAGTAACTCAGAAAATGAGCACATTGTTGACTTATTTGCAAACAATGAATTACTAACTAATAAGAAAAAGGGAATTGGATTGTAGAATCTAGAGCAATATGTCACATGTGATGATGTAAAAAAGTTTCTAAACTTTAGCCAGCTGGATGCAGCAGAAGAAACAAGCCTTGGTGATGGCTATTCAGTCAAAGCTTTGGGAATAGGAATGATTGAACTGAATGTGAAAGTTTCAGGTGGAAAGCAGTGAAAATGCTGGTTGTATGAGACTATATGTTCCCAAACTATTATAGAACTTACTGAATATAACTAAAGCTACAAAGTCTGGAAAGATGTTTGCATTCACTGAAACAAATTGTCAGGTTCTGGATGAAAACTAAAACCAGTTGCTACAACTACCAAAAATCAAAACTTGTACTATTTGAACTATGTTGAAGAACAAGAAGCAGCCCATGCAGCAGCAAAATGTTCAAGTAATGACAGTAAAGAAGAAATTTGGCATCAGCATAATGGTCATCTTGGAGAGATCAGCTAGTAACTGACCTTGATTTCAATGTCATTAGTGACATTGAAATCAAGGTCAGTTACTAGCAGATATGAACTTTTGTGAACCATGTGTGGATGGAAAACAAGTTTTTAATTTCCCAAAACTGGTGCAAGCAGATCAGCTGAATTGCTTGGAATTGTACACAGTGAGGTATGTGAAAAGATTGAGACAAAATCACTTGGTGGAGCTGAATACTATGTCACATTTATTGATGATAAATCAAGATTTCTATGAGTATACATGCTCAAATATAAGGCAGAAGTTTTTAAGATGTTTCTAGAGTGGAAAAAACATGGTTGAAAGGTCTAGTGGACAGAAAGTAAAAACACTACACACTGACAATGGTGGAGAGTACACTTCAAGAGAATTTGAAAGCTACTTACAAAAGGAGAGTATACATCATCAACATATTGTTCCTAAGACACCAGAGCAAAATGAAGTGGTGAAAGGATGAATCGGACACTGATAGAAACTGTACAAGCAATGCTATTTGATTCAAATCTTCCAAAGAGATTTTGGGGAGAAGCTTTATAGACAGCTACATATATTCAAAATCGAAGCCCAACAACTGCAGTACAAAAATTGACACTATATGAATTATGGACCAACTTCAAACCAAATGTAAATTATTTACATGTTTTTTGGATGTAGTGCTTATGTTCACATACAAAAGGATGATAGAAACAAAATGGATCTTAAAGCTAAAAAGGACATCTTCCTCAGATATGGTATTGGCTTTAAAGGGTATTGACTTTATGATACAGATAAACTGAGAGTTTTCTACAGCAGAGATGTGATATTCAATGAAACAAAATCATCAGATACACAAAAGAAAGAGGAAATCAAAGACCAACTTCTTGTAGAAATTCAATGTCAGAGTGTCAGCGGGGATAATGGTGATAATGAAAACAACACATAGGAAGCTACAGGACTAAAGAAATAAAAGAGCTATGATTGCTATGGTCAGTGGGTAAAGATTGCTCAGATAAAATGATCCCTTAACTGTGAAAAAAGCACTTTCCAGTCCTGAGGAAAATGAATAGCAGAAAGCAATAGAAAGGAAAACGGATTCACTTCAAACAAATAAAGTATGGAGCCTGGTTGAATTACCCATTAAATGGAAAATTATTGGGAGTAAGTGGGTGTTCAATTGAAAACATGATGCTGATGGAGACATAGAACAACACAAAACTTGGCTGGTAGCTGAAGGCTTTAATCAAATATGTAGAAAGTTGACAAAAGCTGAAAAGGATAGTGAGCCATTCAGTCAGGAAGAGTATTTCACTCAAGCAATTGGATGCTCAACTCTATGACAAGAAAATGAAGCACAGGCAATCTAATGAGATATATTCGGATACAACTTGGGCTGTCAACATCAGGATACCTGTTTTTAAACTAAGTGTTGCAGCCATCAGTTGGAGAAGTAAAAAAAACAAACCTGTGTTTCATTATCTACAGCTGAAGTGGAATATATAACTTTGGCAAGTGCATCACAGGAAGCAGTATGGATGCAGCATTTCGAATACAATCTTAATGAAATCCATGCTGTCATCTATGAGGATAACCAATCTATGATTTTTATGGTGAAAAATACAGTATCATGAATAAGCAAAACATATTGACACAAAGTTTTATTACATCCAAGAGCAAGTTACAATGAAATCTATTGAACTACAATACTGTCAAAGTAAGGACATGATTGCAGACATACTGACAAACAAACTGTCTAGCACACAATTTGTGAAGCTCAGAAAACTGTTAGGAGTTCAGGAAATGATAGAATAGTCTGAAAATGAGTGAAGAGGATTGTTGAAAATTCCACTCTAGTCAGATGAACATTAACATTTAGATAAAGGGGTTGAAGTTAT